ACATTAGACCATAATCTTGGTCATGTGGCCATGAGGATGCTGCAATGGTCATAAGTGTGAAAAACAGTCATACATCACTTTTTTCAGCAATGTTGCAACTTTGAATGGTCACTAAATGGAACTGTTGTATGTTTAGAACTACCTGTATAGCCCTTTGTCACCAACAGAGCACTGCATGCCCCAATTGTGCCTCCCCCATAGTTGTATAGGGTTCTTACTGCAGCAATGCCCATCCTTATTCCTCTGGAGTTGTACAATAGATACGTTCTCATTTCTGGCTCCAGCACAGCTCGTTGTATCAAAGTTTCCCACTGGTCTTCTGTCACCTGTTTGGATAATCGCACAACATCAGACTTGTGTCTGGAACTGGAGGAGGAGAGCATGGGAAATGGACTTGGGATAAGAGTGTTGAAGGGAAGGGAAGGGAACAGATTGCAATGGAATGGAATGGAATAGATTAAGGAATAGAGTAGAGTAGAGTAGAGTAGAGTAGAGTAGAGTAGAGTAGAGTAGAGTAGAGTAGGGTAGGGTAGGGTAGGGTAGGGTAGAGTAGAGTAGAGTAGAGTAGAGTAGAGTAGAGTAGAGCAGAGCAGAGTAGAGTAGAGTAGAGTAGAGTAGAACGAGTTGGAAGGGACTTTGGAGGTCTTCTAGTCCAAACCTCTGCTTAAGCAGGTAACAGAGTATCAGGTGAGCTTCCATTTCCTACATTCCCTGGAGGCATTTAAGCATATCCATCAGTGAATCTGTCACTATAGAACAGGGTTGGCCAACTACGGGCCCTTTAGGACCTGTGACCAAACAACCAGTTAATTTCAGGATTGCCAAGTTGGGCTGGGAAGAGGCTCAAAAAACGTACACATTTATAGCTAACCAGCAAACAGCATGGAGTCCTTAGCAGTTCCAGCTTAACCTGAAGTAGATATTTATACCTATGTATGCTACTTTATATGCGTATTGTCTCATACTGCACAAAAACACATGTATGTGCATGCACGCAGGAGATAAAAATGTGCTGTTGCATCTAATGGGAATCTGTTAAAAGAACTGATTTTGCTGCTGCAGGTTTCAACAAGACTGAAAGCCTCACCTCTATTCCCAACGTTTTCAGTTTTTCTTGCCAAGAATTCATGATGACAGGAGGACAACCACGGGGCTTGTGAGCTGTCAGCATCATAAGAACCTGTCCATTTAGAAAGTCTGCAATGCAACAGTTGAGAAAAGTAATTGTTCAGGTTATCAGTTGCACAATTCACAGTATGCCATCAGCTAGTCAGTTACATAATTCACAGCTAATCAATTGCACAATTTACAGTATGTCATCAATCATGGTGTACAAATATCTATGGAGATTCTCAAGTTGTTCAAGTCATGGTTGTCCCAATGGGTTTTTTTTCAAGAGGCAGCCGGACTTTCTCTGTTTTTCCTTGAAGACATTTCGCTTCTCATTCAAGAAGCTTCTTCAGTTCTGACTTCAGTTCTGACGGGATCCTTCCATCAGAATGCAAGAAGCTTTTTGGATGACAAGTGAAACGTCTTCAAGGAAAAACGTCCAGTTGCCTCTTGAAAAAAAATCCCCCTTTGGAACATGCTTTGCCAAGCATGACACTTGTGTTCACACAATCCACTCAGGCAAAACCCAAGCTCACCACATTTTGGCTCGGTGCATTTTGGCTCGGTTAATCAAGATAATTCTGGCTTATCGAGTAAGCCGGGGCTTAGTGCCACGGGCAACCCAGCCAACGCAACTATTTTCTGCCTGCCTAATAGAAGCTTTATTTGAAATGTCTTCCCAGCGCTGGCGTTCCAAATTACCCACTTCTGTGTCTCATGTGATTGTCAATTTCCATTAAGATTCCGATTTCCAGGTGCATTTTCAGCACGACAGATTTGGTGGGGGAGGGGAAAGAGTTATTGGATAAAATTTGGAAGACAAGAACATCCACATTTTCAGCCTGGTTTCATCAAGTGATGCTTTTGGGAAACATCGCTAATGATGCAGAGGAGAAATCGTGCATTGTGCACATCTGCGAATCTCCAGGAAACATTGGGAGGAATATTTTAACCGCGTTGGGGAAATGACGAGCAGATCAAAGATGTTTTTGCTAATATATGTATCAACTCATAACACATTCTGCCCGCATGTTAACTTCTAATAAACCCTTTAAAGCTTTGGAAGCATGGCTCAAGGCTCATGATTTAATTGGAGTAACTGCCGAAATCCTGACAATATGTTTAAGAGGAGCACAACTGAAGCACACACACGCACACACAAAAGGATGGATTTTGTCAAAGGTATGATAAGTTTCGTGGATTTCGACAAAGCTTCCTTTTGAAAGAGGCAAATTAAAAATGCCTCATCCTGGAACAATGTGACATAACTACATATTGTTGTTATACAGTTTAGCAATGCCATGAGCTGAACCTGAAATCTTTTCCACGCAAAGGAAATGCTAACCTTTAGCCCTTGTTCTAAATGAAAGAAGCTTCCAGTCTTTGTGGCTGATTTAACGAAAACCTTGGAAGTAACCTATTTCAAATGTAATCATTCGTGGATTTAACCCAGTCCTCCAAATTGAGCCCCAAATTCATGTTGCTAAGCGAGACATTTGTGAAGTGAACTCGCCCCGTTTTGACGACATGTCTTCCCTCTGTTGTTAAGTTAGTAACATGGTTGTTGAGTAAATCTGGCTTCCCTGTTGACTCGGTTTGTCAAGAAGGTCGCAAAAGGGGATCACATGACCCGCGACCGTCGTAAATGTGAACCAATTGCCTAGCATCCAAATTCTGACTGCAAGACCACGGCGATACTGCAATGGCCATAAGTGTGAAAAAAAATGGCCAGGAGTCACTGTTTTCAGTGTCATCGTAACTTCAAACGGTCACTAAATGAACACAATCAGATCTGGTCCATGCATTGCATGATCTTGACGAGTGGCGTGGTGGCTTACAGGTGGAACTCCAGCCTCACAGTCAGGAGGCTGTGATATCCTAGATCAGTGGCCCCCAATCTTTTTTGAACCAGGGACCGGTTTCACAATTATTTATTCTTCCACGGACCGGTACCTGAGTAACGTGAGACTCCACCGCCATCGGGACGGCTCTTCATTCGAAGCCGCCCCCCCTTCAACGAAACTAAGGCGCGAGCACCCAAACGCCGCTTTCCAACTGAAAAACCGGAAGCATTTTCCAACCAAAAACCCAGAAGCAACCGAAAACCCGGAAGCGCTGTCGAAACAAGATGGCAGCGCCCAAGCTTTTCAGCCCGGTAAAAAATGATCCACAGACCGGTACCGGTCCAGGGACCGGTGGTTGGGGACCCCTGTCCTAGATAGAGGCAGATATTTCTCTCTCTCTGGGCACAATGAGAATATATCTGCTGAACAAAACTCCGCATTGGCAACAGGAAAGGCATCTGGCCATTAAAAAACACTTTGCTAGCTCCATTCAGTTGCCCAGACTTCATTCCCGCAAGAGATTATGGGGTCGTTAAAACAGGATGACACTTGCATGATATTGACATTTGGCAGTTTGCGGAGATCCCAAAGAGGTCACGAAAGCATGAAAACCCAGAGATATCACAATCAACCCCATCAAATTGCATTTTAAGAAAGTAACCAGAGAGGATCTAATTGGGTTGATACGAATATTTCCATCCTTATCTTTAACTCCAGCTCGTACGGTAGGATAATGGTGTTCATTTAATGATATTGTTCATTAAAGCTGCTCTCCGTTCAAACAGAAGATTAAATTGAAACGATTAAAAAGAAAAGCCCCAAAAACAGGTCAACGTTATGATGGCTACCACCATGTTTCCTGCCAATGGTGTCAAATGACTGGTTTTACCGTTTCTCCAGAAATCCGGGTGCTTTTTTCCTTTATTCCAACAATAAGTGATGCCAAAGGGTAGCCCTCCTTCTTCACCGCCTTTGTCTTGGTTTCCACCACAAAGCATCTTGAAGAGGTGTTCCGCTCGCAGTTCACCCAGCAGTGAATTGTCAGTGTCTAGTCTTTCCTCCTTGAAGATGCTGACTGTTTTCAGGATGAGAGAAACAAAATTTTCAATCAGCTCATTTCCTCCAGGTTCAGGAGAAGATAGACAATTGCAGGTCAAGACTGAAAGGCCAGTAGATGGACCTCTGAAGTCCACCAAGTTTCATCCCCGACTTCTTCTAGCGTGCTGCAGTTCTTTCTCTGACTCTGTTGAGACATTAGTCTGAAGCAATACCTATGTTCCCAACAAGCACCTGGGCGGGGCTGCACACCTCCGAGCTATGCAAAACAAGTCCTGCAAAGCAACCCTGGGAAAATCCAAAGCTTTTCCAACAGAACTGTGGATTTGTTTATTTCTTTTTTTCCATTCTGCTTTCAGAAGTTTGCTTCTTAAAAGTTCTTTCCAGCTCTGCCAACCTGTATTCTCAATCTACGTGCAACAAAGGGCCTTCCTAGATTGGCTGCTTCCCTGTCCTGCACTTCAGAAATGGTCCAGGAGCACATCTTCAAATTCCACCAAGCCAGAACAGAAATTGCTCTCCACAAATGTTGTAACGCTGCAGGTATTACCACCTGAAATGACAAAAAGTAACTAACCTCTGTCTGGTGTCACCGAAACTCCAGGTTGACCTGTCCAACAAAATATGGATTCCTGGAATAATACGGGTTGTTGTTGTTGTTTTAATGCAGGCAGCATCCATCAAATGGGAGTTAACTGCATTAGTCATTGCTTTGCTTCAACCTGCCTTAGAATTTCAGCACAGTTGCAAAACTCTAACTGTCCTACCAGACACAATCAAGAACGTTTGCTTCTCATGACTCAGTTTTAAGATTACTCGGTTAGATTGCACAGGAAGGAGGAGGGTTGTGCCATCCTTTCCTGCTTTCCCCTCAGGCTGTCTAAAGGAGATGAAATACATTGTTTTTCAAAAGATTTATGAATTCTGGGGCTTACGCTTGTCTACCTTTCACCTCGGCCCATTCCGGTTTTTTTTTTGTTTTTAATGTACTTCACAAAGTCAGAAAGAAGGCTTGTAGTGCACGGAAAGAGGAACTGAATCGCGAAGCCCGTCATAAGGGGGGGAAAGACATCTGTTAAAGTTGAACAAAGTTTAGCAACTTAGAGTCGGGGATGAAGAAGAAAAAGGACTTACAAGCTAGTTGTGATTCTCGAGGCATTCCTTTACAGAATCTCCAGCTGCCTGTTTTAGCAGCACAAAAAGTTATACTTAGCATGACTCCATTCCATAGGAAAATGCTCTCTCTC